CCCCTCCCCCCACCTCCCCCTCCTCCCTCCTCACATGTTCCAGGATCTCCTGCCGTGCCCTGCTTGGGTTGGTGTCCTCCTTTGAGCTGCGACACCCTCTGAGGTAACTCTGTGATGGACACCTGCGTCATGTTACCTCCCCCTGGCCCACCGCCACCTTCTGAGGACAACACAGAGGGAGAAATTATCATCATTATCATCATCACCATCGTTACAACCCTCACGATCATCATCATCATCATCATCACCATCATCATCGACATGGTCACCACCATCATTATCATAATCATCATCATCATTATTGTCATCATCATCTTCATTGCCATCATTATCGTCATCATCTTCATCATCATAATCATCATTATCCTTATCATCATCATCATCACCATTACCATCATCATCACCATCACCATCATCATCATCATTTTACTATTATCATGTTTGTGGCTTGAGATGTATCTTTATTAACCTGGAAATGTTAACAAATCAGGGAATAGGCTTAACCTTTGTGAATGTTAACAATAGTAACGCTGCATCATGACACATTTGTGTCACAACGCGATGGAATCAGGCGCTCATCATATTTTGGGCATATGAAATTATTGGTATCATCTTAAAGTTTATTCATTTGACTATCTTTCGATTAAAAAAATACCCATCTCTCTTGACTTGCGATTAAAGGAATAGGGAGTCGCCTGGTATCAGAGGTAAAGTTAGTGAGAAAATGGCTGCCAGAGTTTAGTGACTTCCAAAGCCTAAGTGTCCTTGGAAACTGAAAATTTATATTTTTAGTGCCTTTAATAAATATTTTAAAGTAAAATCCACACCGAAATGTGTTTTTAAATAGGCATTAAAGGTTTAGAGACAAAAAACCCAAAAGTTGATAAAAAATGTCCGAACTGGGGAGAAAAAACCCCCCACCAGTATCTTCAATTTTATTATTTTGACGACGCGCCCCGAGGGTGGTTCGCAGGTGCTCTGATGTGGTTTGCTCCTTCTTAATTCCTCTCAAACATCTATTGTCCTAATCTCCCCTTCTTCTTTTTTGTGCTTGTAACACCTCTAATCTTCTGGCGCTCATATGACCTTATGCAGTTGCGAGCCCCGTAAAACCTCTACTAAAACTAACTCTAATCTTCGGAACTTTTATGACCTAATTGTGTTGCAAGTGCTGTAAAACACTTACAAAAACTAAACTACAAAAACAAATTCTTCCCCCCCCC